GAATATGGGTAAAACCTGGAAATATAATTGTGTAATTTTCCGGCCGGACAGAGGCAGGCTTACACCGACACACTCACGGGTAAACACATCAGACCCTGTGAATCCAGAATCACTCATTCATCTTGTTGGGTTCACCACTTCAACTCTTTACATCATGTTTGACCAATCTTATTCACTCATTCAAATCAGATATGTAGCTAAAATCCCTCATGTATAGGCCGGGGCCAGCCAAAATCACTCATTACTGGCTGCCCTGGAGCTAAATTCCCTCATTATTGTCTATATAAGGAGGCTCTCCTCCCAGTTGTTGTCTCCTCAGTGTATTATTCATCAGTCACAGTTTAGTACCACTCAATCAAAGATAAACCAACTTTACAGAACCTTACCAAACACCAATGCCAACCAAACTAATTTCTCAGCATCACACAAACTCATTCCTGAACTTACCCTATCACTTGATTAAAACTTGCCAAGCTGAGCTTGGTGGGTCTTGTTATCTGATAGTATAGAAGGGCAGAGCTTGCACCTCCACCATCCCCTTCTCCATTCAGCAAAAAGGGTCTTACATCCACTTTTTGAGTCTTACAACCGGAGTAAGGAGCGGGGAGAATTCCAACACCCCCCTCAATTTGGCGAGAAAAGAACCAAAACAATTGTTCTTTTAGTCTTTTGAGGGATTGATGGTTGCTTGATTTTTGTAAGAGCATCTGATACCATGAGTTTGACATTTATTTGATAAGTTGATTTGAGATCTCAAAGCCATTTGCCTTTGATGTTGAGATGTTTTGTTTTTGAGTTTGAGCCAAAGTTTTTTATTTTTTCTACAAGTCCAAGATTGTCCACCTTAAATTCTGTTGGGTTCAGTTTGTCCTTCCAGAGTTCTTCAATGAGATAGGTGATCCACTGATTTTCCTGAGCACCATCAGAGACAGCATTTATTTCTGCTTCAGTTGATGAGAGAGTGATATTCTTCTGCTTCTTACTGTTCCAGGATATGGGGCATGACTTCCAGAAACAGATGGTTCCGCTTTGAGATAGTCAAGTTTCAAGGTCATCTGCTCAAGTGGCATCAGTAAATTATTCAACAGATTGTGATTGATCAGATGAATTGGGAGTCAAATTCTGCTTGAGCTCAGAGGTTCTACTGAGATATTTCCAGCAGTGGATCACTTCTTTCCAGTAAGTGATTCCTGAAGCGTGATTAAAACTCAACAAGATTGAGACAGCTGGGGCAAGGTTGGGTCTTGTTTGACATGCTAAGAAATTCAGAATGCCAGTGAAGGACCGATAATTTATGTCAAGTTTTTCAAATTCTTTACGTTCGTCTTCTGTGTCCGGCTTCAGTTGGACTCCCACAGAGAGTGGAGTTTTTACCAATCTGCAGTTGACAAGATTGAGAATTTCAATCCCTTTTTGAATTAGCTTGGGCTAGGACAGCTTGATGGAATCCGTTTCGATCTTGACTTCCATGACAAGGAGATAGTCCGGATTGTGAGTGGTGGAATTTGGAAATTGATTCGTGAAAAGAGCTTCAAATTCTTCAATGTGTCTGACAACTATGAGGTTGTTCACATGAAAGAAAATGTACAATGTTTCATCATTATGGATGTAAAGACACAGATCTGTGGTGGACTGATGAAAGTTGATCAAAACAAACCATTTTGTCAGAGTGTCGTACCAATTTGATGGTGCTTGCTTGAGGCCGTATAATGATTTGTTCAGCTTGAGATACAGAGCCTTCCGCTTTGATCCTTCAGGGGTTTTGATGTAGACGTCTTCTTTGAGAGGTGTGTACAAGAATGCAATCTTCACATTGAATTGTCTGAGGCAGAGTTTCTTGTTGATGGCAAACATGAGAAGTACCAACAAAGTGGTGAATTTTCCGGTGGGAGCAAAGGTGATTCCACAGTCTTTGGGTAGTTGCACAAAACCTTGAATACATAGTCAAGCTTTCTTCTGTTCTTCAGAGGACAGAGTAGCCAGTTTTGTTTTGAAAATCCAGAGAGTGTGTAGATACGATTCAGGTTTCTTCCACATATCTTACCACAACTTATGACCTTTGATGTTATTGAGTTCTTCATTGGCCGCTTCTCCCCATTTGTCACCTTCTGCCAATTCCATTGCCTTTTTAAAGGATGCTGGGTTGGTTTTCAGATGAGAATATTTTTGAGGCTTGACTTTAGATTTTTAGTCTCAAAGAACTCTTCCAAAATCGCTGTTTGGAATGAGTCCATCAGCTATGTCTTCATCACTCTTGTCTGATCATGAGTCAGAGCTGGATTCATTTTCCAAAGATGAGTTGTCTCGAGAGTCAATTTCAATTGTTTGAGGTATTACAGCATCTTCAATTGGCAATTCTTCATCATCAATATCAACAACTTCAGCTTGTTCCTGATCCATTTCTTCTTCAACCAGTTCAAAAATTTCATCTTCATCCAGAGAGTTGGCTGATTTCATTTGATCTAGGAATCAGACACTTTTTGTCTCAATAATCTTTCCTGAATTGTTGAGAATTTTATATGATTGCAATTTGTTTTTGTAACCAATGAGAGTACCAAGTTCTCCCTTAGGAAGAAGTTTTGACAAAGATTTTTGAGGAAGAATGAGATAAGATACCCTGTTACCGATAGGATAGAAAAAATCAATTGGTATGGTTTGTCCTTTAAACAGTTCAAAGGGTGACTTATTACTCTTATGTGAGGGGATTTGATTGAGATTTAAGGCGCTGACTTTGATTACATCACACCAATATCGAAGTGGTAGTCTTGAGTCTTTGAGTATTGTTCTCAGTGATTCTAGGATGGTTTGATTATGCCATTCTGCATAAACATTTTGCTGAGGTGTGTAGGGATCCGAGGTTCTTTGTTGAATGAGATTTTCTTTACAGAATTCTTTCATTGAACAATTTAGAAATTCAGTACCTCTGTCTGAATGAATAACTGTTGGATAGTATCCAATCCGTTTTGCCTCCAGATTAATAACATCGGACAAGACCTCAGCTACTTCACTTTTAGCTTTGATTGGAATAGCCAAACAGTATTGTGTCTGACTATCAACAACAGTTAGGACGTATTGGTGACTTTCTCTGAGCTCGAGAAATAGGGCCAATCAAATCTAGATGTATTTCTTCAAAGGG